CGATTGCTTGTGCAATTGATAGCGCCCTAAACTTTCTTCAGGCTGACATCCCAAAGTTCCTCTGGTCTTCCGGCGCACGTAATCACCAAGGAAGTGCGTACAACACGATTCATGCGTTCACCTTGCCCATTTGTTTGAGGGGTTGCCACGGCATTTAGTACATGCTTCATAGTATACACCGTACAAAATGCCTTGAAAGAATTAGATGTAAAGGCAGTGCCTCTGTCACTTATTCTACGAGACGATCCACCGAATATTGCAAAGAACTGATCAAGGGCTCTAATTACACTTTTTGTTGATGTGTCACGGACAGCTTCGAGAATACAAAACTTAGTAAAACCATCAATTATTGTCAACATTTGAGTATTTTCATGTTTATTATGTTGCAAAGGTCCTACATGATTGATATGTATCGTATGAAATGGAATTGCCACTTTTTTCATAGGATGCGAAAGGCCGGGTTTCCGTTCCGCGACTGACTTGTAATAAAAACATTTTAAACATGCATTCACATACTTAGAAATAAATGTTCTCATGCCCCTGCATGAATAGTTTTCCGCTACCTTTCCAACATCTTAAATGCAAAATGACAGTAATTTGCCTGGATCCCCAATATGTGGTCCGAAAGATTTATTTTTTTTTTAATGGTTATTTTACATCGCTGCAACTCTGTTCGAGTGGCAATGGTGATGGCAATGATGATCAAGACTTCAATTGGTTAGATCTTACCTGGAACCTATCCGTTGTGAAGCTGCGACTTTAACCACTTCGCCAGGCTACCGGACAACGATTTATTCTGCAATGACTACTGGACTCGAACGAACGGAAGAATTGCTCTTGTCTGTTATCGCTTTCGATAGTAAATAAAACGAAAAAAATAAATAAATAGACTAAAATCGCTTTTTACAACACGAAATTTGTAATCCAATACTAGTCAGAAATGAATATCAAGATTAGTCAAATAATTTAAAGTCTAAATTTTAATCAATTACTAAAACAGCTAATAAGTATATCGGAGTCTGATAATTCTGGAACGAACGCGTCCAACAGAACGGCAAGAGTAAAATCTACTGAATGTCGGTACTTGAGAGGAAAATCGCCTCGAGTAAAACGTAGACAAGCTGCCCGACACCTATCAAAACGGTTACTTGGTAGAACAACGAACTCGAGGGTCGACCTCACTTACAAACTCTCTGACAATGCGTACAAAACCATTCCTGATTCTCGTAACGATGAGTTATTGTTAAATTATAACGTTAAATTACATAATTAATTTTCACTTTGAACGTCACAAAAGAAAAGAAAAGTTAGAACCTCGAGTGAAAATATTATTGACCTCTAGATTGTAATCGCCTAAATAACGAAAATCAATAAAGATTGCTTGGTGATCCACGTAAAATGACAGTTTTTGACACTTATAAATTACTAACATTGAATGAAGATTTAATACAGCAGCCACAAAAAGTAGGAATAGAATTAATCTATGGAGTGACCGACTCGTGCCAGAACGCATGAAAAATGCAAATTTCACAGAAAT